GTTCAGAGATTAAGAAGTAGAAATTGGTAGGTACAGAATAGCCAGGGGGATGTTAAAAACAGTATAGGACATGAAGTAAATAAAGAACTTATATGCATGACCCATGGACATGAACTAAGGCAGCGGTATTACCAGAGGGAATGGGACATATGAGAAGGAGAAGAGGAAAGGGGAAAAAACTGAGCCAACTGTAATAGCATAATCAATAAAATATATTTAAAAAAACCCCAAAACATAGATATGGTCATATTATATGTATTCAGCAGTTTACTTTTCTGGTTTTGCAATGTCTTAGAGATGCTGTGTCAGCTACATATTCCTGTTTTTTAACCACAAATTTCTTGTTAATTGTGTTTTAGTTTTGATTTACTTTTCTGACCAAAAATAATCTTTAAAAGCTTTTCTTTAAACTACAACAAAAAAAATATCAGGGAAAGATCCTTGAGAGAAATACTTCATAAATTCTGGCAGATTTACCTTTATGTTCCCTTTACATGTGAACATGTTGTTTAGGCATTAAATTTTTTAGTCCCCGTCTTTATCTAGTAAACCTTTATAAATATTGCTCTATTATCTATAGAAATGAAATCTAAGGCTAACTTGATTTTCGTTCCTTGCCTTCTTATGTTTAAATGCTTGAAGAAGTCTATACTTCCTGAAATTTGATCACTTACTAAAATATGTCTTCAAATCAGCCTCTTTTAATTCACTTAACTTTTCTTTCTGGTCTAGAAAGTTTTTTCTCTGATACCTGTCATTAGTGCTCTTACCTATCTGTTTTCTCCTTTGGAAAAATCCATCACTCAAGGTTGTATTTTATTCAGTTATTTGTAGTATATTTTATGTCAGACTTTATATGTTTTAAAAAAATTCTTCCTGTATTCAGGGAATGTCCCCACCGTGAATTCTTCTTTCTCACTGTGATTTAAATTTATTTCATTACTAAATCTTTTTTCTTTACTGTTATTGTATCCTAAGTTTTACTCTATTCTCTTTACTGTGGGCCTATTCTTGTACAAGGATTTACTGAACAACTTCAAGTCCTTTGTGGAATAAGACATGAATAAATAAAAACAAAGACAGTGTTTTCTTTAAAAATGTCCTGCTTTACAAATAGGATATATTTCTAATGAGAGATTTTCCTCTGAGTACTTAACTGGTATATCCCTCTAATGTTACGGGTAGTTACGATGCAAAAGTTACTTTTGGTGCTCTCCTCTACCTGATTAGGTATTGGTAAATTCTGCATCTTATTATAAAACCAGATGCACAGATATGTGAAGTGCGTAGTATAGTCCTTGACTGAGAGACATTCAAACAATTCTATTCTTTATTCTTTTTAACTATTAATCTATCTGGCAAAGAGACCCACCCAGTTTTCAATATCCAGTTTGATTTTGGAGGACTAAGATAGGGTTCCCCTGATTTCAAGATGGTCCAGTACACAGAGACAAAGGGAAGCTTTGGGCAGGGCTGGCTCACCCTGGCCAGGCTGCCATTATTTGTTTCTTTTGAAATAAAGACATCAGTGGAATGGGACTAGGTTACAACTTGGTCACATTACAGTTCTACTGTGGGGTGGGCCTCATAATCCACAAACACTATTCCCAGGATGCTAAAGTAACCTGACAACAAGGATATAAAAGTTCCAGGTATTCCATTTTTTACTCTACCAGGTTGTATGACCTGCTACTTTTAAAAACTCTAGTTCCATTAGTGATATAAATCCACAGAAATTCTTGCTGAACACTGAACTATATGACATAATGTGCTCTTCCTGGTTCGTAACATGGATAGAGATGCATTTTATATTGTATGTCCTTTTGCATGTTAGAATTATTACATAGTATTTTCAAAAGTCAGGAAGTTGAAAAGTCAAAAAAGGAGAGATACACATTTATGGTCAATTATGATCACACATATATGAATATCTTGGCTTTAATGCAAATCAATATATGTATATCTACTCATTAACAAAACAATTTGAAAGATTCACATCAAACTCACGTGCCACAAAATTACCACTGCTCTCAAGATTACACACACACACACACACACACACACACACACACACACTTAAACCAATTCAGCAAAGTTGCAGGATACAAACCAACACAGAAAAATAAGTTGCATATCTGGGAAAAGAAAATAAGAAAACAAATCCATGCAGGAGTATAACAGCATCAAGAATAAAATATTTAGGAGTGAGTAGGCAAAGTACTTCTATCTTGAAAACTACAAAACACTACTGAAGGAAATTAAAGAAAACATAAATAAATGGAAAGATATATTGGTCCATGAATTGGAACACTTAGCATTGTCAAGATTACCTAAATTAATCTGTATTTTCAATGCAACCTTTAGGAAAATCTCAGTTTTTTGCAGAAATAGAAAAACCCATCTTTAAAATTCATACGGAATTTGAAGGGCTCCTCAATAACTAAAACAATCTGGGAAAAGAAGGACAAAATTGTAGGGCTCACACTTTCTGATTTCAAAACTTACTACAAAGGCATGGTAACAGAACAGTAAAACAGTGGTATGAAGACAGACAGATATACAGAACAATGGAACAGAATGGAAAACCCAGAAATAAGCCCTCACATACACAGTCAAATTGATTTTAATTACTTTAATTATTAAAATGATTAAGATGATAAAATAGGTTATATATAAGGTAAACAAAAAAAAAGGAAAAAATTAGATGGAATTTTTTTTTGGCCAACCAAAGAACTATGGTTTGGTGGTAGCAATGTGAGGCTAGCAGAATGATAGCCTCACATTCTATCTCATGTTAGAGAGTACATGCAGCATATACTTCCTGCACTTAAAAAGACTTCTCAGGGAGGGATAGTCAATAGGGAAAGACAAGTTCATATGAAGGTAAATTATTCTTAAAAAAGCTGAGACTGTAAGCCAATTTCTTAGAAACACAAAAGGAGTTTTAAGCAGTACTATGTACAAGAATGTTTGGCTGAACAATGTACAGATGAGGATACAGGGTCATTTAACTGGGGTAGGGAGAGTAAGGAAATAATAATCAAGGAGACAGAGGAAAGAAACCTGTTAAGAGAATTGACCCTAAACAGCCTCAGAGTTCCAAATGGACCTGCTTTGTAAACTACAACTACAGCAAACCTTTGAGGAATATAATGAAGAAATAAGAGTCACTATAGTCAAGCTACTAAGTTACTAAAATCAAGTAGGTTAGGGGAGGAGGAAATAATTCTATTCTTGTTTTAACTAGCTTGACAACTTAAACTTTTAAACTTTCCAGTCCTCCGTCAATGCCTGGATATATGTCATACCTCCAGATTCCCTCTGATTACCCCCACAAGGACTGATGTATACAGACCACTTGACATCCACTATCCAGACCGCCAGATGTGACCTGACTTCCTAGCACCCATCCTCCATACTATCCAGACCACATGATATCTGACTGATAACAATCCTGGACCAATCATAGGTCTAAGAATGTAGAACTGATTTTCTCAAGAATGTATTTTAATATAAGAACTTTTAACTTTTCTTTTTTCTCCGGAATTCTTCTGGAGTTTTGCCTAGTTGTGTTTTCAGTTTGCAAAACCTAAGACCCTTGAATAAATCTTGATCATTTATTTCTAGCCAAAGCCTCCGCACCCTTTTTGAGTTTGTTCAACACTTTCATTAAGCACTTGTTACATGTCAGCCACTGTTCTAAGCACTTTATACACATTATCCCTCACATTTTAATAAAATTGACAGAATCTTGGTAACTCTGTCTAAAACCAAACTTCTCCTCCTCTCAATTAAATGAAGTTATAACTTAATATTCAAGTAGTATATATAGTCCTGGCTACAGCTAGGATTTCTGAAACCAACTGCTTTTAGGTATTTAAGGGGCATTTTTTAACACAATTCATTTTCCCTCAATAGCATCTTTCCAGTATCTTACCACATTCATACAAATACATAAAAACTGCATTTAAATAGTAAAAGAATAAGTACATAATCATACTCTAACCTTTGGTTGCTCAGCCCTGGATTTAGTGTGTGTTTGCTTTCTAGTCCTTCTCCCACCCCCAACCCCCATCTCTGACTCCAAAATATAAATAATTTCACATTTTTTTGATTATTAAAAAAAACACATGCTTTCATTAAAAATATATACACAAATGATCATTTCGTAATTTACAAATTAAGCTACGTCAAATGGTTCATTCTTTATTTGCCCATACCATAGTATGGGTTACTCCCAGGTAATAAATGACCTCAAAAACCATGCCAGTTAAACAATACTAAATAATATACTAACATTTCAACCTAAATTTTGGTAATTGAACATACTTAATATTTTTAGCATTAATGATTCTTTAATCCTAATGTTGAAAAGTAAATAAGCTGATTCTCACCAACTTCACAAAGTTTTAGTGTAGTTTTTAGTAATGTCTACATATATCAACTTCTAAACTTTATACATTTAAAATTTTCACTCAGAAATACAAATTTTCCCAAAATGACATCTATTAAAAATAATTTATTGCCTTTTAAGAGTCAAAGTACCTTTGGAAACATGGGAAAACATAATTCAGATGTCATTCGTTTTGCTTATGTAAAATTATCAACAGACTACAAAACTGATGTAGGTAAGTCAACCCTATATGAAACATGACAAACAGTCATGCAAACAATCTAACCTGGAGGGGTTCTTTAAGAAAACCTACCAGTACTGAATGAAAATGTCTACCGTCAGACTCATCCCTTTAGGCTATTGTATAATTTTCAGAATACATTTGCTAACATGTAAATGTTCACTAGGAAGCAGGGGTTATATGTATAAAAAAAGAAACAGGTAATAACTTTATTTTTAACTTAAGGAGCACAGTGTACTCAGTAAAAATTAACTGGTAATTAAAAATAAAAGTACTTACAGTCACTCCTTCAAGAAAAATAGGTAACACAGTGATCAAGTATTAAAATATACATATACACTCAAAGTAATGACACTTAGGACTCACCTCTAAAATCTGACCAGCTCTAGATAATGAGCGACCATCAGTCTGGACCACTATTACCTGACTGGGAGACTGTGACAGAATGCTGGAAACACTAGCAAAAGTCTAAAAACAAATAGAAAAACAAGGGTACATTTTCTTCATCTTACATAAAACAGAGGCAAAATTTAAAGGTCACCACAGCAAGACCTGAGGGACACCTGGTACGTACTTATGTTTTACTTGATAACCTTATGGTGGATAACATTTTGCGGTCATCTAAAAAATTGCAGAGTTCTTTTATAGTAGCCTAAAGGTGGGGTCTGGGGGCCTCTACACATACCTACTAATGTAGTAAGACAATTTAAAGAATGCAAACAGGGACAGTTGAGGTCATAAATAAATTCAAAATAATACTTTTTAAATATCATATGAAAGTTTTAAAAAAAATTAAATATGCTTTAAAAATAAGCTTTAGGATATGAACATGGCTTAGCATTAAAAAACTGCAATTAAGCCCTGGCTGGTGTGGCTCAGGGGGTCGAGCACCAGCCTGCAAATCAAGAGATTGCTGGTTCAATTCCCAGTCAGGGCATGTGCCTAGGTTGCGGGCTGGTCCCCAGTTCAGGGTGTGCAAGCAATGTTTCTCTCCCTTTCTTTCTCCCTCCCTTTGACTTTTTCTTTGGAGAGAAAAAAAAAAGGGCAAAACCCTGCAATTAAGGTGTTTTATATCCCATAAATGCTTGATTTTGATGCTCTTACCTTAGACTGGTCAAGAATTTGAAGTTTTTCCCATACTATTTTATCACTTTCAGATTTTTTCCAAGGATTATTCCATTTCTCAGGAGCTTCTTTTTCTTTCCTTTTTAAAGCAACCTGTTCATCTGCAAATAATGTCCTTTTTAAAAAAATGTACAAAAACTGAAAAAAAAAACCACGTAAACAAATCATGACCTTCTTAAAGAGTGCAGATTCCAACACAGATGAAAATTGTTTTGTAGGGCGACTGACTCACAAACAGAAGAATTTTAAGGGATATGGAATAAAAGAAAACATTTAATCAGAGCCAAATTTAAGTAGGGCACAAATGGATATAAAAATGTTTTATTATAATTATCAATAAAGAGAAATTTTTTTTGGAACAACATGCCTTATATTATGCTAATTATTCTGAAGTTCTACTTTCTTGTAATGTTCATTCAATTACTACTAAGAGACTTAACAGCTAGAACTCTGGACTCAGAGAACTACGGGGGCCAAATCCAAGTTCAACCACTTCTCATGTATGTGACTATGGGCAAACTGTTATTTACCCCTCTAAACCTGTTTGTTCTCCTTTAAAAAGAGACTGGTAATAGTCTTTTTTGGTATAGGGCTTAGCACAAAATAAATATTTAATTTCATAACTGTGGAAAAGTAAAAAGACATAAAATCTTGTGTCTAACAGTCCAACATAAACAAACAAGATCCCAAATCAGTAATTCCTAAAACTTCAGAGATATATACATTTGAATTCCAAGAATGAAAATATAGCTTTAACATACAAAGATGTGCTTTTCTAACAGCATCAAGCAGAAGAATGTAAATTGTGTTAAGATAATAATTAAAGCATAAAACACTTCAGTCGTTTCAAAGTAGTTCAAATTTTCTTCAGAAGTTTTGTATTGTATTTTGATAAGCTAAATTTGTATTGAAAGAAAATACTTAAAGCTGAAATTATGCTATAAACACATACCAGATCTCCAAATCTTCTGACTCTGCTACCATACATTTAATTTCTTCATTCCTCTGTTATCTTCACTTCCAATATCAATTCATTCCCTATTTCTTCTGCTTTTCTTTTTCTAAATCACCTGTCCTGTCCCAGCATGATTGCCACACAGGAGGATAAAGCCCATCTTCATGCTCTTAGTACAGCTATTCCTAAGAAGTAGAACTGTTACTTCATGTATTTTCCAAACTCTGGACCCTAAGTCTAGTCCAAGAAGTAATGGGAATTTCTTAGTTATTATCAATATTTTAAGACCCTAACAGAAATTATAAATTTTTCTATTGTACAGTATCTACAGGCTGACAAAAAGCAATAATGCTTGTTTTTGTATGGAATATACTAATTGATACCATATTGACGATCCTTCATTAGAACATTTTGATTATTTTAAAAAATGAACTCTACTTTTTAAATAAAACCATCTTTAAACCCATAGGATTTCTTAATGACAATACATGATAAAGGATTCTCAAGAAATGAGAAAAGTTTAGAAATCTATCTTTGAGATTCAGGAGCTTCAGAATGATTCCGATGACACTAATGCTCTCCTCTGGCTTTTGGTACACACCAGAGTGCCAAACAAAAAGATATAACCTCAGTGAATGTGAAACCACAAATCTTATGCATTTACAGAGAACTTTGCTAGATAGCAACTGTTATAAAACAAGACTTCTGATAATATTATACTCAAAGATATAGTTCATACTCAAAATATATTCCGTAAAGCAACTAAACTATAATAAAAGATGTAATAATTACTTACCAAGCTCTTTCCTCCACTGGGCTTTTTTAGCTTCCAACAAACTTCTATCACGTTCTCTTTCGCCCAGAGTACTGAATATGTCAGCTGGTTTCCATACATTCTCTCTGAGACAAAACACAAAAAATAACAGAAACCTTATTACTGTATTTTGCCATGTATAATGTGCACCTACATTTTTGTGCACATTATACACAGGATTATTATGCCCATTATTACACCCATGGCATGTAATCATTATACCCATGTATAATTTGCATTAATTTTCCCTAAGAAACTGGGGCAAAAAAGTGCCCATTATACATGTCAAAATACAGTATATGTTTCTATACAACATATTCCATAAATGTTAATAAACTTTTAATTAGCTCTTAGTCTTCAAAGGAAGTATTTCACAAGAAAGTCAAGGGAAAGCAAAACCATAGTCACAAGATGACCCCACAATAACAGATATGAGTTACATACATGTGAATTTTCTGCTCAGACTGCTTAGATGTCTCCTGATTTTTATTTAAAAGAGGTTTATTTTCATCCTGGACATATGAAACAGCCTCAGTTTTTTGTAGTAGTCCCGTAATGTTCTCATCCTTTGACTGATTAGGATTACTGTTTAAATGTAGACTGTACTGACCTAGGAGGTAAAATGCATGCTTTAAAATTAATATTAAAATTACATCTATTACAATTGCTTATTTTCACATACTGCTAGAGTGTTTAAAAAACACTGCCTTACACATTACCTAATTAATTACTTCTCACAGCAATCCTTGCAGCGGGTTCTATAATTCCCTTTTTTGTCAAAAAAGGAAACTGAGCAACAGAGGTTAAATGAATTGCTCTATCTAATACTAAGCAACAACAACAAAAAAATACACCTCCATTTACTCCAGCCAACACTCTTGCAAATAATATAAGTGAAAACACAATTCACAACTTTATTGAGAATAAAAGCAAATAGCTTTATGAAAAACTTGTTATCTTGTCCTTATTTTTCTCACTTAGCTGGGAAATCAGGGAAAAACTTTACCATGGACCACTGTCTCTGTGCCCCAGCTATTTATGATATCTATTCCAAATACAGGGCTCATATACTTGGCTCAAAAATTATTCTAGTTGCTCCTTAATGTGCTAGTTCTCTGAGTGAAGAGAAAGCATGTCTAATATGCAGGTCATTATATGGTTAGGCAAATTCTGCTTTTACCTTTGTTGATATTCTCTCTCATTATCCCTGCTAAGTTTTTATATTTGTTCTCTGAGCTTGAATTCTAGACTTAAAGACAAAATCTAGCTCTCTCATTTTACAAATAATAATTTAGACCAAGAGAAGGTAAATAACTCCATCTCAGCACTTTTGGAGTATGTATATAAGAGCTACGTGGTCTCCAAACCAGTTATGGGGACTTATTTCCAGTAACTGTTAATTTAATTTTTATTTATTGAATATTTCACTATTGCCTCACAAAATTTTAATATTTCTACTCCTATTCACAATTCCTTAGCTCAAGCTGAAACAAGAAGACTTTAAAAAACACCATGCAACTATGACTAATGAAACAGAAGGCATGTAACATTCTACCACTCCTTCCTTTAAAAAGATAGGGCTGCCAATCCTTAGCATGATTGAAAATCCGGAGAAGCAAAATGTGGGGGCTAAGAAAATCAACATTCTCAGCAATCGAGTCAAATCTTCATAGTAAGGTTCCCTCAATTTTCGCTAGAACTACTATAGTGATTTTTTAGAACACTATTTTTAATGTAAGTAAAATCTCCTACACTCTAATAAGTACAATAGTGTTTTATAATAACATCTTTTCTAGAGTCCACAGAAAACTGTTTTTTTGTTTGTTTTTTTAGTAACATAAAAAGATAAACATTTATTTCTAACTCATGCATTTGTGGGTTAGCCAGGGCAGTTTAATTTCAGGATACAGGTCAACAAGTTGCCTGGAGTCACTCTGTACCATGTATTTCCTTCTGGTAAAGATAATGGCGTGGAAGTGATCACCTGATGAAAACTGAGTACATGAGAATATTTTGGGCATTAACCTTAAAATATGGCACATTATAACTGTAAACATAATTCTGCATATGTATGTTCTTTAAAAGTAATTATTTTTAAAAATTGTACATGTTAAAACAGAATTTAAAGAGGCACAATTACATAAAATCCAATGTAAGTTCTAAACATTTTCTATCAATAAAATTAATATTAATTAAAACTTTAGAAAGTCTTACTTGTTTCCTCTTCCTTTCCATTTTCAGTCAGCAAAAAAGATTTATTTCCTTGGTTTACAGTCATCAAAATCTGTTGTAATTGGTCTTGTGTTAGACACACCAAACTACTCTTCATATTTTCACTTGTGATGTGTTTTTTGCAAGGCTTCTGTTTAGCTACTACAGATGTATTTATGGTGTTTCTAGTCTTCTGTACATTAAGAGTTGCAGGAGAAATCTCTTTCTGCATATGAAGACAGTCTTTATCAGCATACTCCTCGCAGAAATCCTTAGTGAGTGAAAAAGCCATACTATTTTTTTCAGCCTTTTCCAGTGAAGTTTCTGAACCAATTCTCTTCTTTTGCAAAAGTTTCTCATTCCTGATACAAGTATTTTGTGTTGATTTTAAAATGTATCCGGTTTGCTTTGTTCTAAAAGGACATTTTCCAGTCTTGGTCTTATTTCCCATCTGTTAAAACACCAAAAATCTATTCTTTATAATAGCCCATGAAAAACCAACAATCATCTTTATATAATCTGTGGTAAAACAGGCCTCTAAATTTCTTGCCTAAATTACTGAAAAGACTTCTAGCTGATTTTCCTGCTTCTACCCTTGCTCCACAGTCTATTCTCAACACAGCAGCCAGTGATTACCTTCTACATATGTTAAGTCAGATCATGTCACTTTCTTCAAAAGCTTCCAATAGGTTCCCATCTAACACAGAAGAAAAGTTGAACTTCTCACTATGGCCAAAAAAGACCTAATGATCAGGGCACCCTCCCATTCATCCACATTAACTAATCTCTAATCTCATTTTCTATCTCTTAGCCTCCAGCCACCTAGGCTTTTTGGTTATTCCTTAAATTCAACAAGAACCTCCAGTTTTAGGCCTTAGCGTTAAGTCAATCCCTCTACCTGGGACATTCTTCTTCAGATTCTACATGGCTCATTCATGCACCTCCTTCAAATATTTGCTCCAGTATCACCAGCTCAGTGAGGTCTTCTCTGACCACCCTATTTAAACTGCAGTTTTCCTGCTCTATCTTCACTCCCACACCTTCCTTCCACTCCCTTTTCCCAAGGCTTGTAAGCCTCTGAAATGATTGTGCCTCTTCCCTTTCTCTCCTTTATTTTTCTCTATAGCACTTTTCATCTTATAATATTCCATATTTATTTTTCTTATTGTCTATTCCACACCTTTCTATTGTAAACTCAACAAGGCAGAGATTTTTGTCTGCCTTTGTTCACTGCTATATTCCCAGTACCGTGAGTAGAAGAGAGTAGGTATTGAGTAAATTTTTGTTGAATGACACCCCTCGTCTATGCCATTTTAAAGACGGCATTCTTTATGTTTATCATCTCTCCCCCAAGTTAGCTCCCCTTTTCAAAATATCCCACTTCTCTGGCTCTGTAGTTCTAATCTCTCAGACCAATAACCATGGACTGAGTCATCTTTGACTCTTTATCCTCCTTCATAGTCTTCTTTAGCTTACCAGCAAGTATGGGTCATTTCTTCCTTCTAAATCTTATCCTCACCATTTGCACAACAATAAGCCTAAATTCAGGTTTTCATTTCATCACTAGTTCCCATTTAATCTGCCATACATTTCTGTAAACCCAACTAACCTAAAAACAATTCAATAGTCATTTTAATCATTATTAAGTGTTGCTTGTTATGTACTTGCCACTCTGGGAAAAGCCCTGGAGGTGTAAAGTTGAATAAGACAATACTCTTGCCTCCAAGGCTTTCATTTAGCTTATCGTATCTCAACTTTCCTTGCCTTTCAGTAAATTACATAATATATGATCATACTTTGACCTATTTGCCAATCCCATTTGCCCTACTTCTCAAAATATACCTTAGAATCAGCCACAAGATTCCTTTACTATCCTATTCACCTTACCTACATCCTATTTGTTCCTGGCTTTAGGCTTCTGATAATACCAATACAACAATCTAAAATTCCTTTTTACTCTCCCACCTCTGGGGTTATTTTAACATTATATAACTAATTTTGTAAATGAGAGGTATAAAACTCAAATACCTACTGTATTTTAGGCTGGGGAGAAACTAGGATAAGCTGAAGAGCACTTTTCCACCTAAAGGAGACAGACCCTACTCAGAATCAAACTACACTACCAAAAAGAAATTAGTCTGCTTGCTAGATCATCCAATATTTCAAAAGAACCAAGGATGCCATATTTTACTTTAAATATTCCAATTTCTGGCATTGGCAACTCATTCTAGTTTTTGAAAACCACTGTGTAGCAAATTATCAGCAGACTGTGCATAACTTACACAGCTGAGCCCTAACACCTCAATGAGTCTCCTGAGAAGTGTAAGTGCAGTGTATTCCTTAACATATCTTGGAAATTCTTCATTTCTGTCCCCTTCTTTTCATTCTGCTAGCCATCATACAAGTTTAGGGCCTCAAAAGACTCACCCTGCCCCTGATCGGTGTGGCTCAGTTGTTTGGGTGTCATCCCACAAAGCAAAAGGTCACCACTTCAATTCCTGGTTTGGGCACATGCCTGGGTTGCAGGTTTGGTCCTGTTGGGGTGTGTACGCAAGGCTACTGATCAATGTTTCTCTCTCATATCAGCATTTCTCTCCCTTTCTTTTTCCCTCCCTTCTCCTCTCTCTAAAAGTAAATAAATAAAATCCTTAAAAAAAAAAAAAAAGGCTCTCCTTGGACTACTACAATTGCCCTTTAACTGACCTCCCTGTTATGATAACCTCCCCTTCAGAGTTGCCTGAAACCCTACAACACAAATTAATCATAGCTAGCTCACTTTTTAAAAATTCTGTAATGTTCCCTACATACAAATCAAGTATGTTCAAGCTGAATATTCATTTAACTCTTTATGACTGTAACCCTGCCAAGCTTTATGTTCTACACTTTCCAAGGTACACAGTATTCCCCAAACGCAAATTACGCTTCATATCTCGGTATTTTGCCCAACAAATTTCTGTGAGCTTAGAATACACTTTCTTATTTCTTTGACAATAAACTCCTTAATATGTCCCTCATCTTTTAAGTTCTAATTAAAGTGTCCCTCCATTTATGAAGCATTCCCTGGTCTTTTCAAACCACAAAGAGCTGTTCTTTCCGATGGTTTCGCCTTTTATCACCCTACTATAATACATACTTTATTCTTTTTGTATTTTATAGCTGACTGATACTGCCACTTCCAGGAAACAGGGACTAGGTTTTACTTTTTTTTTTTTTCCCCTCTTTCTCTCACAGACACAGAACCAAAAAAAAAGAAAAAAAAAAAGAAAGCCAAGAATAGAGCTCTACATATATACTGGAATTTTACAGTTGCAGTAAATCCTTGTTGTAGTCCTTCAGCTTACCCCAGTGAGACAGAAGAAAAACATTATGAAGACAGAATTCATAAATAACTTATTAAAAACAAAAAGAATTCACCATATAGCTGCAGAACTGTGAGATCTGAGAGATTAAAAACTGATTAAAATAAAAGAGGAAAATAAATACTACTGTTTGGGGTTTTTATCTTTATCTGCAAAGAAAGAAATGAGGCTCTGTAAATACGGGAAGAGAAGATCCCTGAAATATAATCAAGATATAAGAAAGACAGATTGCACCGTATCTTCTTTCCAGCTTTACCTAGGTATAACTGACAATTCAAAAATGGTATACATTTAAGGTATATCATTTGACGATTTGGTATATGTATACAATGTGAAATAATCAACACAATCAAGCTAATTAACATATCCATCACCTCACCATTACCATTTATCAGTATTCTGGAGTCCCAAAAGCAAGAGTGATAAATCCAAACAATTTGCTTTAAGACAGTAAATAATCTAAAATCAACATCATCTGAGACATATTAAGGACATCAATGAATGAGGGAACATGTGAGAGAGAATAGAGGCAAAGAAAATATAGAAATCAACTATTACAAGGAGCTTTCTATCTAGGAGCTTGAAAAGGGGCACTATACTTGTTAATGTGATTCAAATAAAAAGTTGTAATATTTTAATAGAACAGGGCCAGGAAAAAATACACAATCTGTAGGGGGTATTGTGTATAACTATATATCATATATAAAGAGAAATAATTTTTATAGGTAGCTTGTGGAATTAACACTGATCATCACCACCCATTTATCAAGTGATTGACAGTCTGAAGACTAAAGCAATTTCTCCCCCTTCATTAAACCTGAAAGAAATAGCAGGGACATCAAAGGCTCAGTTGGAAAGTGGCACGTCATCTACAATGGACTTTATTCACAGACATAGAAGAAAAACTTTAAGATGCTTCAAAGATAAAGCAAAAAGAGGGCTACAGTAGGTTATGAAAGAGCTGAGTATAAATTTCTGCTGCTGTTAACCTAAAAATGGAAAAAAAAAAATATGGTACAAGAAAAGTAGTGCTATCAATTTTTTTTTAAGTGGTAATGTAATTTTGTAGAAAAAGGCACTTTGGGTTTCTAATAAAGAAAAATAATTTAAGCCTGGCCAGGTGGCTGAGTTGGAGCATTACCCTGTGCACCAAGAGGTTGTGGGTTCGATTCCCAGGCAGGACACATACCTAGGTTGTGGTGGGTTTGATCCCTGGTCAGGGCGTGTATGGGAGGCAACTGATGGATGTTTCTCTCTCACACTGATGTTTCTCTGTGTCTCTGTCTCTCCCCTTTCCTCTCTCTCTCTCTCTCTCTCTCAAATTAATAAGCATATCCTTGGGAAAGCATGAAAAAAGAAGGGAGGGAGGAAGGGAGGGAGGGAGGAAGGGGTAAAAAGGAAAATTTTCATAAAGCTCAAGTGTGATCTCTTAAAGGAGAAAGTTAAATGCATGTAAGAATTTGTGAATCAAATTATGCCCTTCTGGTGAGGAAAAATGTCACTGACTCTGGGGATGTAAAGCACAGCATACAGAACATGGTCAATAACATTGTAATGCCTACATATCATGCCAGGTGGGTACTGAAAATGTTAGGGGTAACACTTTGTAAAGTTTATGATTGTTTCATTACCTGAAACTACTACAAAATAATATGGAATGTCAACTATAATTGAAAACTAAAGTTTAAAAAAATGGAATGAGTATGAAAAGAAAAATATTTTTGTTTTAATGTCTGAATACCTATTTTTAAACATCTTGGGAACTGCACTGTCCAGTACAGTAGCTATTAAATTTAAATTTAAAATTAAATAAAATTAAAAATTCACTTCCTTGGTCACACTTAAGTGCTCATAACCACACAGGATTAGTGGCTGGCTACCATATTGGACAGCACTCATTTTAGAACATTGCCATCATCATAGAAAACTTTATTAGACAGTACTAATCTAGAGAAAAGGGTTCTAAAAGGCTTTTACAATGGAAAAATTATGATTCCATTTCTGTAAAAGGACCAGCCTGAGAGCAAGGGAACAGTAACTTCTCACCAACACTCCTAACCCCTTATAATATTTTGACACTAATTATTTTCAAACCACTGTAAAGAAAACCCATTTAACATTTGAAAGTAGGTCAGGTCAAAGTCATTTATTTGGCTTACCTTCACAGAAATTTTTGATTTACGTTCTACAAAAGAAAAAAAAAATTACTAAGCTATCAACTGAAAGTATACATATACTAAAGCAGTTACAAAAAAAAATGTTTAACTCAGCATTATTTTAAGATATTAAATAGAAATAGTAACCTCGAAAGCTTAAGTGTTGTTTTACAGTGTGGGTTAAGTATTTCTATTTCATTTTTGTTTATTTTCCAAAGTAAAATGATAAAGAGATTGGGGAAAAGAATATTATGTGAATGAGGAGACTACCAATTACACACCAAATTTCAAAACTAATTCTAAAAAAATAAAATAAAACTAATACTAAAAATAACTTTAGCAACTGTAGTCTTACTATAAATTTAATTTCTCAAACAATATATTTTTTACATGTACAAAACATAATTATATTTTCAGAGAGATTATTCATTAGGCAGTAAGGTTATTTGTTATATGCAAATATAGTGAAGAAATATATAACACATGACATATATTGGAACATTAAATTTTATGAATACTGACAATGGTAAGCAGTGATGTAATCACTGCTAAAAATAAATTTGAGGAAGTTAGGATAAACAACTTTTTTCAAAGTACCATTTAAATATCACTCTATCACAAGTAAAAAGTCTGTTAAACTAGTATATATTTTATGTAAAAATTTAAAAATTTAACATTTTAGATTTCAGTGACACAGCATACCATATGGAGACAATATTAGCTTGGTTTTTCCATCCAATAATTCAGTTTCAAGCTTTAAACCATCTCTGCAAAACAAAAGAAATTCCTCTGTAAGAAACAACATTTTAAATAGCCAGAAATGCTTATTTGAACCTAGAAAAGTAAATCTGTTCTTTTGAAATTATACAGGAATCTTGTAAATGTTAAATCATTCTTTTAATTAAAAACATTTTTCAATCTAAGATGAAAGTAAAAACTACAGGGAGAACATTCTTGAAACTTTCCAAAAAGACAAAGAATTTGTTATCTTTAACCTGAAACTTCATTTGTTACTGGTAAGCAACAAATTAATTCAGTTATCCTACTATAATTTAAGTCTTATTAACTGTAAACTGGAAAAAATAATGCTGTTACCAATACTCCTCACTTAAGTTAAAGGAGCAAAACATATCTACCTACCAACCATTTATCAATTTCACCATGATCTCATTACTAACACATTTTATAGCATGCTAGAGCATTATTTGAAAATGAGCTATAACATTGCCACCAGGATTACTCACTGCTTGAGCACAGAATTCCACTCTATTTTGAATATTTCAACTAATACATATTCACATTTATTGACACTCTTGTTACTATAACAATAAATTTACATATAATAAACTATGGCTATTGTATTTTTTTGTGCATGTCAAATCAAAGAGCACAAAATAACAGTAGACACTACCAATAAACTTGTGCATCTGTTATGGTTCTAATAAAAGCTCTTCTAAAAAAATAACAGTCCACAAAGTCAACCATAGTATTTTTGTTTTGTTTTGTTTTGTTTTTAAGGTGGGACAAAAGAAATGTCCAAGAGACAAGATTAAATCCAGCCAAACAAGAGAGGTTGGGGAAGGTCTGATTAGGAGGTTAAAATATGAGGTGTTGCTAAGGCAAGGGAAATCAACGTACTTAATAAGATAAAATACTGGGGAAAAATGGGTTTTTAGGGTTTCCTAAAATACGCAGAGTTCGTGTTTACGTTGATGAAACAAACAGAAAGACCTTGAATTAAACAGCCACGTTTGTCTGTTTAGTATTGCACCGTAAATTTTTTCACGGGCCAACTGTCTTATTTTTCTATCCCTAAATTCCAGAACGTAAAATCTAGTTGCTAAACGATGTGCAGTAGTTTGAGTTTGGTGACTTTTCATCTTCTTAAAATATTAAACATCCTTGTGATGAAATCCACGCAAAAGTCCTTTTTCTTTACTCAACCACTACTGAATTAGGGCCAGTTATGTGCCTGGCATTGGTAATACGGGATAACTTGAGAAGCCCGGGTTCCCAGCACGGCAGACGCTGAACTCATCTAAGAGCTGGGACACTGCAGACTCCAAAGACAGGATCGCAAAAAACCAGGGGCCTGGGCCAGGGTTTCTCCCCGGGATCCTGTCAAGCTTCATCTCTCCATCTACCCTCCCCCTTCTTCTCCACTCCTCCACGCTTCTCCTCCTTCTCCACCCAGAGGTGAAAGAGGGGACGGAAAGGAGGTAACGACAATTTTCATTCTAGTTATGAAGTGGAAAACCGAGGGCAGTGGTGGGTGGTAAAGGCCCACCCAGTCCCTTGCCCCCTCAACCTCAGGGAGGCCGGCACTGCCACTTCGGGCGCCGTAGGCCCGGAAGATTCTCGCGAAACACAACCCAGGACCAACCCAGCCTCACCCCGTCCCGGGTGACGCCCACCTTTCACGCCCCAGCTTACCCCAGGTTCATGGTCTGACCTCTCGCTCTCTCCACAAGACTCTCAAGCCCCCTGTGTACGTTGGTTGCCGCCAAGGATGAACAAGCTTTATGCCAATTGGATAGAGAGATGCCGGTGAAGTAGGAGAAAGGACCAATCAGAGTTGGGTTTGCTGATGGGTACGCTCAAGGGGCTCGAAGGTGCGGGGTGACAAGCTTTTTCCACCAGCTTTGGTGTCGCTGGTCTGCTATGTAGATAGTAGAGATCTTTTGTTCCTTGGAATTTTATCCTTCCAGAGTTCAAGCCTTCACAGAAGTGACTCAGCCCAGGTGGCTGAGGTTGCAAAAACAGGGAGAAAATACATAAACGTTTTTACGAAATTAACATTTTCTACATTTTTGTATTCAGAAGAGAGGCTTATTTTAGTATAAAAGAGAGAGGTACTAGGAAGAAACTAGTAGGGTGGGTACAGGATATGTCATGTCTCTTGCTGTGACTACAGCACGAAGCCTAGCACATAGTAGCTCTTTTTAAATAGCAACAACTACAAGCGCTCAATAAATTTAGCTCTTATGTGCCAGACATGGATTAAGTGCCTTATGTCTATTATTTAAGCTTTACAACATTATCTTTGAGGGACAGAGAAGTTAAGTAACTTGTCCAACGTCACTATCAAGCAATTTAACCCCAGAGACCATAAGCCAGTCTAGTGATACAGGAATCTAACTCATTCCTCCTTCAAATCTCAATTTAAGCTCCTTTGGAATCCACTGGCAGGTTAAATTAGGAACGCAAGGTGGCTGCCCTTTCAATTAGGATTCTAGTATCAATACTTTTAGGATCCTGTGTCAGAGTGAGCGACAGAGAGGCATATACCTCCATAGCCACAGCACCAAGCCCTGAGCAGCATAGACAGTAAATACTTCTTCAATGAATGAACAGCAAAAATTATTACAATGCAGTTACTGAAAGTTCACAGTTTTTTAAATCTATCTTCTCTTACGTGATTTAAAATTTTTTTTTTTTTTTTTTTTTTAACAAACTCCAGTTGTAATAAATGAGGCACAATTCTCTTGGTACATTCAGTGAAAACTCAAAGAGATCTTTTAATATTCACTGTGTACCTGGCCTTGGTAGGATATACTTAAATAAACATTTGTTAACTTACTTGACAATAAATGAAGAGATACCAATGTACATTTGATCCCATATTGCTGTTGTTGATTTTAAGGAATACTAATCTATGCATAGAATAAAAGGCTAAAAAGATTTAAAGCAACAGGTTAATAAGAGTACTTCTGGGAACTAAAGTGGTGTGACTTTAAAATTTCTATTTTGTTTTTAATTTATTATGAAAGTGTTTAAATAAAAATGACAGAATAGTACAGTAAACACCTGTATATCTTCTATTACATTTGACAAGTGTTAATGTTTTGCTACATTTGCTTTCTCTCTTTTCCTCTTCCTCTCTACACATGAGCAGGCAGGCATACCCATACACCCCCCAACACACACACAATCTTTTTGGCATCACTATTTGCAAGTAAGTTCCAGACATTATAACACTTCATCCTTAAACATTAAAGCATGTATCTAATAAGAATGAGACATTCTCCTATATGACCATAGCATTATTACACCTAAGAAAGTTAGTAATTTCATGATAACATCGATAACATCATGTTCTGTTCCAATTTATGTTTCACCCCTATTTAACTTTCCCACTGGTCCTAAGAATATCTTACAGCTTTTTATTTAGAAAGCAAGAGCCAATTAAGGATTAAACATTGCATTTGGCAACACTGAAGGAAAAAACAAACAACCTGACAGTAATCAGAGGGGAAGAGGGTTGGGGGTAACGGGGAAAAGAAGGGGGAAGGTCAAGTCAAGGAACACATATAAAGGACCCATGGACAAAGCAAAATGGGGAAGGATTGAGGGTGGGAGGGGAGGTTGGTGGGACAGGGGAAGTGGTGGCAGGAAAATAAAGGCAAATGTACTCGAACAATTAAAAAAAAATCCTTTGTCTCCCTCTGTCTCTGTCTCCCTCTCTCTCCAGAAAAACATGGTATATTTAATAATAAATGCTTAACTTTTACATCTTTTATTTTTTGCTACAGAAATGTCTATAACAACATTTTCCATTTTAACCATTTTCTTTTTTTTTTAAATCTTCATCTGAGGATATATTTATTGATTCTAAAGAGAGGGGATGGGGGAAGGTAGAGAAACATTGATGTGAGAGAGAAACATTGACCTCCCATGTGCACCCCAACTGGGAATCAAACCCACAAACTTTTTGTGTACAGTATGACACTCCAACCAACTGAGCCACCTGGCCAGGGCCCATTTTAATTATTTTCAAGTGTATGATTCAGTGACACAATATTGTACAACCATCACCAATACCTATTTCCAAAACTTTTCATTATCCCAAACAGACACTCTATACTCATTAAGATATAACTCTCCAATCCTCCTTTCCCCCAGCCCCTGGTAACCTCTAACATAATTTCTGTCTCTTTAAGAATTAGTTTATTCTAGATATTTCATATAAGTGGAATCAAAGAATATTTGTCCTTTTGTGTCTGGCTTCTTTCATTTAGTATAATGTTTGGCATTCTTCTGTGTTGCAGGATATATCATACTGTCATTCCTTTTTATGGCCAAATATTCCATTATATATACATATATGCATATGTGTGTGTATATGTGTGTGTGTGTGTGTGTGTGTGTAGGGTTGGCCAAAAAGTTCATTTTTTTCCATAAGATAGCTCTAGTACCACTTAATTGTATTTAACATCATTTGAAACAGTTTTGTTAGATTGTATTGTGACAGCTGTCATATCAGCATGCATTAAAAAAAATCAAAATTGGTGAATGTTTGTGTAGCCATTTTAATGTTGAAGATAGAAATGTTAGGTAGGATAGATAGTAAACCATGGCAGGGAGGAGGAAGGAGGGAAGCATGTCTCACCCACTAACTCAGGAGACTTGACCCTGGTCCAATAAGATTGCCAGGTGTTCTGAACATCACAAGAAACATCATGATAGCACAGGAGGAAGGGGGCCCTTGACATTCTTATGTATCATTTCCATCATCTGGGAAAGAAAGTCTTTAAAACTGTGTACTTATCCCAAGGTCTGGAAGGGGGAAGAGGAAGTGGTCCACAGTACCCAGTGAAGAAGCCCATAAAACAACCTTGATCAATACCTTGCCTCTGGTCACTATCTGTTTAATGAGGGGGTCCCTAGTGCTTACAGAAAGAGCACATAAATAACTTTGGGTAACTGTCTCAACTTTAATTTAAATACATGCTCTGTCATGTATTTGTTTTGCAAGATGAACA